TCCCACTCCTCGCCCGCCTCTACAACAGGCGCGTGCTTAGGGTCCAACCACGCATATCTGAACCCCTACTACGTAAGCCCGTCGCACGTCTGCGGTCAAACCGGCATTACGTTCTCCCTTGTACTATCATTTTTCATTATTGAATTTTGCTTTTAAGACTGCTTCAAGCTGTGTTAGTTAACACATTAAAAATCTTTCTAATACTTTAAACAAATTTATAGGCTGCTTTACAGTATATGAACGTGGTTCGACCTTTAATTTTTGCTCACTTCACTATAAAAGCTACCTACGATGATTTTTTTAATAATGCTAATAAGTTATTTTTGGGGTTATAACAGTTTAGATAGATTTAATATTCGATAGCGTAAGTTCTATTTAGTTGAATTGAATTGCATTTGAGACCGTGAATGTTGAATGAATATAGCCGAACATAGTGTAGTGGGCAAAAGGCTCTTAAAGGGGCGGGACAAAAAGGGTCAAAAGGCCGAAAGCGGAAAAAGCATAAATAAATTACAGTAAGAAAAAAAATCCTTAAGATTTACTAAACAACATTAATCTTTGTAAAAGTGTTTTATGACATATTCACCTTCGTAGGCACTGCCGGCGCCGTCGTTGATGTTGTCTGACATAATCTCATGTTCCTCTGCACCGTGCTCCATAAACACGTCCTACAATTTAATAAATATACAGTTTTTTTATTATTTTCTATAGTAGAAGGAGGCAAACGAGCAGCAGATTGCGAAATGTAACCTTATTGGGTGTATGTTTGTAGTGCAGGCTGATCTTGCTGAGCTCGTGGTCGAGGTGCGCCAGTCGCGAGGCGTGCGCCGCCGCGCCCCCCGCGCCGCCCGCCGCGCCCGCCCCGCCCGCCTCGCCCGCCTCGCTGCCCGCCGCCTCGCTGCCCTCGCCCGCCTGCTAACAAACTTCATTACCATATCCGATACATAATTTAACTATCCTAAACTTATATATTTACACAATTATATGTATATTCTAATGTGTCAAGTTTGTATAGCAACGTATAAGGCGTTCCGTTGCAAGTAAAAAAATGTAAACTACCCACAGAAAATGTGCAGGGTTCTCAAGCCAAAAGGTTTAAGAACCCAAATTAAAAGATAAAGAAAATGTATTCAATACATTTGGAGTATGGTGACGTAAACAGTGACATACCTTATGCGTGGGCATGGCGTGCATGGCGCGCTGCGTGGGCGACAGCATAGGACTGTACTCCAGCGGCGACTGCGGCGACACCGGTCCCTAAGCACAACACAACATAATACGTCATCTCGGTTACGTGCATGTAAGTTTGTATGTGTGAGAGAGATTAGTGTATTTTAAACTCACGCTGTTCGATATAGAGGAGAGTTTCTGCTGCAGCGAGAGCATGTACTCGTACGACTGGCTCTTGTTGGGCGTACTCGGCTGCGACGACCCTGTAGAGTTCACGTTCATCATTCCTGTACATAAAGTCTTATGTCTTATATACTGTTAGAGATTTTATTTAGTAAAATGTTAATAAACGGCATATCACCGGCTCCATCGACGTCTACAGCCCTGCGCGCGAGCGTGTGGTGCGCGTGGTGGGCGTGCGCGGCGCGGTGCAGCGGCCCCGCCCCCACCAGCGACAGCGCGGGCCCGCCCACACCGAACTTCTGCCCGCCTATGAGATTCTGACCGCCAACGCCTAAGTTTTGAGTTGCTAGACCTGTTACACAATTACATTAACGTAACACTGTAACTTTACACATCGTTTACAAATATAAACATTATTATTATTGTCGTAGTATACCTAAGTTTTGTCCAAGATTCTGCCCCATGAGGTTTTGGTTGAGCGCCAGGTTATGTGCGGCGAGCTGGTGCTGCAGCATGGGCGCGCCCAGCCCCAGTCCCAGCGCGAAACCCCCGCCCAGCGTCGGCGCGCCCAGCGGACACACAGACCCCTGCAGGGCTTGTTGCTGAGCTGAAGAGGCAACGACCATACAATTGTAAACTTTAGAAATTAAAACAAGATGTTTTACGCTGAGTATCCTTTTGACCAATTTTGTCAATAACTTCAGTCACATAGTAAGTTTAATAATATAACTAAATCCAAAAATTAGGACAAACATGTACATTTGGCACATTTGATGGTCCTTCGAGTTGGAGGAACAAGGTAGTTTCATAAGTGATTTCTTTATTAAAAAAAAAACTGTGTGTCCAAGTGCCTGTATTCGTAAAAACACAATAATTACTAAAGGAATACGAAATTTAATACATTTATATTAAACCTAACAAGTGATATTAGTGCATTCAAGTTAGTATAACATGCTTAACACTAGTGCTTTAACTGAATACAAATTGTGATTTACATATAATTACATAACAAAAATATTAACAAAGCCATACTAAACACTAGAGCTGACATTTTATTGCTTTACGATGATTGAATTTATAGTAAGCGGCTATACTATGCACCTACATTTTTACAACTGAAATTTTGATACCGAATCAAATTTATTAGATAAAATTTTGAGTTCTCCGAATGTTCAATTGTATTACCTATGAAGTCGTTAGCTGTGGCCGCGCAAGCCAGCACTGGCTGGTAGTACTTCTGCGGCGCGAAGTGCGCCGGCAGCCGCGCGCCCGCCGCGCCGCACGCTGCGCACACGCAACGCACACATAACACGCAATGCTATGCAAGAATATTAAAAACCTCGCCAGGAGAAGCCTTCATCGCATAAACCCTTAAATGCATGATGATGTATTTATACATCAGTCTTTTCTTCATTACCCAATAGACTATTTTAAAAAGCATTTTTTTTCCCTTAATCTATGTTCAATTTACTACCCGTTTCAATTTATGGTATTTAAAAAGAAAAATCGTCGTAATCTTAACATTCTAAGCGTGAATTTTTCCGCTAAGCGAGGTTTTTCATACTCACGGTCGGGTATTGTTATACATAGAATGGACATTCGTTAATTATAATTTATTTACTCTCATACAAAGTTAAGAATTAGTCCATTCTAAGCTGAAAATGGTATATGTGACAACAAATAAGAAATAAACTATGCAGTGCTGTAAATTGTTAAAAAGTCAGCATACAAAAGAAACAGAGTGCTTTTTATTCCACTCTATGACATGCAACATAAACATAACAAATTTAAAAACAATGAAATCTATAAGGCACCGAAATATCTCGCGCCGGATTGTTTTTTTTTTAGGTTTTTATCGAGTATAGTCAAATTCCATTGCAATGTGATTGAACGTAAATGTACAAAATCCGTGCATATGTGTCAGTATGTTCGTGTGTCATACCGGGCTGCGCATTGGTGAGCAGGTTGGTGTGCAGCGCGAGCTCGGGCTGCGGGTACTGCGGCTGGTTCAGCAGCCCCAGCAGGTTGGGACCCGTCAGGTTCTGCTGCTGACTGCAATACCATACCACTTCAATGTTCTCACTGTACTTTTAAAATAAGTGCAAAAGGTACAATAATCCACTCACTTCATAATATTCTGCTTCAACAACATCCTCTGTATGTTCTCCGCATTGGGTAGGGCATCTGTTAAGTTGGGTGTGGGCACGAGCGCGGGCTGGGCGAAGGGCAGCCGACTTAGGCCCACAGGGTCGGCCAACG